GTAATTAATTTTCGCAGTGGGAGGAAATTTTTTTTCCGTCCCTCGTCTACTATTATTGACGCTCGCGGCTCCTTAAATTCTCTTACGAGTTGAGTTACGGGGGAAATTAAGCTCGGGCTCGGATGTGCTTATGCTCTGTTTAGATAATGCAAGCGTTAAGTGAATAGAAACTTCCTAGCGTGCAATGAAGAATAGTCGTTTCCGAATGAAAGATTTTCGGGAGCCAATGGACCGGAGCTCTGTACGTGCTTCTAGAGCACGAGACGTATAATGGTGAAAAACATTTTCATAAATCTAAGCTGAATGTGTAAAGTTGACATTCGCAGCCTCGCTATCGTTAAGCGTCTATTTTACAACCATCCAACGATAAAGTCAGCCAATGTTTTGTTTAATAAATAATTATATATATATATATATATATATACTTGATAGTAACAATGTAAATATATAAATTTGCAAAATCATTAGGATGTATAATTTTACATTACATTTCACGAAAATGCGAAATGTAAGATTAATGGGCAAGAGTTGGGAAATAAGTTGTATTTCGATCTATTAATACGAGAGTCGAACTTTGATATTTTGTTAATGTTAATGTTTTTGTTAATATTCATTAATAATTATATTTTTATATAAATTCATGTATAATTAATATTGAGCTGCCGTGTGTTTTTGCATAGTAGTAATAATAGTCTTGTAATTGATACTTAAATGCTGTTTTTGGAGTACAAAAAAAATAATAATTTTTTTTTTTTTGTCATATAATATTATAATCTATTTTCCGATTATAAAAATCTTATATAGAACATATTTTATGGCTATAATGTTATATTATATAATTATAATCAATGTTAACATTAATTATTAATTACCTAAGTTTTATCTTTTTAATAATTTTTGAATGCTTATTGAAAAATTGCAGCTTTAGAAGCGCTTGGAAACTAAAAATATCCAATAATAAGATTAAACGAAAAATGTAGTAAATTTTGTATTTGTATAGCATATATTTGAAACTTGTACAGATTGTAACTTTATATTACCGTTTCAACATACATTTTCATAGAACATTGGAATTTACATGTACCAATTTAATATAAATTAGTTGACGAATTTTCTTAATAATAGTTAAAAAAAAAAAAAAAAAAAAAAAAAAAAAAAAAAAATAACGGAAAAAATAGGATTGAATGAACAAATTAATGTTGACAATAATTAAATAAAATTCGGCATCATGTAACGATTAAATAATCCTAGGTATTAAACGAAAGAAATGAGACTGAATAAAGGAAGGTGCCGCTTAGAGTTTTTCATTTCCTTCTTCAAAAACTATCTTAACCTCTGTAACTCATTTCGATGATTCTAACATCGTTGGATTACGGCGTGTATATATATTGAATTATTTTGGTATTTGTTGTGGTAATGGTTAAACGTAACATCTGAAATGGTTTTCATTCTAAAAGTCGAACTTTTTCCGAAATCCGTTAGCATATTGTTTGTTGTTCATCTCCGCCTTAATCCTAATAAAAGCTTTAAAAACTGTAGTAGGGAAACGCCACTGACGAAATGACCAGTCATAAATAATTTCGACGAACAGGGTGGCGAGCGCCTCTCTCTCTCTCTCTTTCTCTCTCTCTCTCTCTCTCTCTCTCTCTCTCTCTCTCTCTCTCTCTCGTTCATTCTTCGATAAAACTAAATGTAGCATCTGTTTGTGGAAGACAAATCGAAGGATACGTGCCTTTTTTTTTATTTTAAAGAATCTTGACGCGCACGCGCATTTAATGTATATGGAAAATACGATCGACGGAGATGACGAGCCTCTGAGCACCGTCGGTGTACGGCATCCTGGGCGTGACCGGGATCAGCCCCAAGTTAATTGTTCATTTACTGACGTCCCCGTATAGCGGGCCAATGCAGCCTCTTATTTGGCCCTCTGTCAGCCTCTTTATCTATTTCTCTTGCTCTTTCGCTCTCTCTGGTTCTTTCGCTCTCCTCGTCGAATTCGACAGCGAAAACCCAATTTGTTCGATTGACAATTGGATCGTTTGGCTCAACTTGCGTATGCCGCATACGCACACAATCAACGTTGAATCACCCTTGTGTTTCCTGTACTCCGCGTTCGTCTGATCATTCGCTACTTTCTTTTCATTTTATTTCGATAGAGGTAGAATTCAACGGTGGGTATCGTGAAATATCCTAGTTCGCTGGCAAAGATTCAGGAAGGACATTTGCAATTCGTATTTGGAGAGGAAGTGGATTTTTCAAGGATTTTATGTGTTCTTTCGGATATATTGTGATATAAATACTTCTTCTAGACACAATTGTATTGGTTTGATAATTATGAATTCGAGAAGATATTGGATGATTTGTTGAATTATTAACAATTATGGTTATTTTAGATTAGATTGTAGACTAAATGTAGAGATGAGTATTAACGTAATGTAAATCGCTGTGGTTTCAAGAATATTGAACCATTGGTCTTTACAGTTTCGATTTGTTCAGAGAAATGTTTCCAATCACTTATTTAAACTGTTACAGTTTTTTTTAAAGTGACTTTTTTATAATAGTTGTATTTACAGTAAATATAAGATTGCATTGTGCCAATAATTATAATGCTCTTACTGTATGTGTATAGATGAAATAACGTTTACATTCTGAATTATTCAAAATATAAAAAGAAACATAAATAATCTATCGATGGTATATTGCCCAGAAATCAGGTTTCTTTTACATCTTTAGGCAACAGAACTAGAAATATTGAATAATAATTATATACCATATGACCGCTACAAATACTAGGAACATTTATTATTAACGTTTTTAGATTTATCGGTGAAAATTATAGCAATATAATTCATAGAAATTTAATACGAACATTTTGACAAAAATAAGTAACGAACTTTCTAAGATCACGATTATTTTTCCTTAAATATAAATTCTTTTTTTTTTGTTGTTATTGAAAATAATAATAATATAACAGAAATAATATAATAAGATAAATAAAATATTAATAACATTTTAAAAAATCAAATTAATCATTATATTTTGCATAATAAGTTAATTGGAAATTCAATAGATTCTTTTTCTTTTAAAGAAATTTGTATTTTAACGTGTAGAAAAAATTTAAAAAAAAAAAAAAAAAGAATAAACGATTATCTACGATCAAAGTATGATTGAATTATGTAAAGGAAGCAAAATGGAATTTTTATATTTAATTTTTACTAAAATTTGGAATTTTGAATTTTATTTTATATATAATGTTGTTTATAATCAAAGTAGTGAAAATAATAAATTAATTTCTACTATACTATTTCTACTACTATTTCTACAATAATTTTATTATGACAAAAGTTTCTAACAAGATAATGTAATACTGAATAATACAAGCTATTTTAATATTAATTAACAAATTAACATTAAATAACGTTATTTAATATTTCAATGATAATGAAATTTATATTAATCTTACAATATTTGTTAATCTATTTCATATCCGCTTGAAATCACTAAATTGTACTAACTAAAGATAATATTTCTTATAAGTTAAATTATCCGTTTGATGAATACTTTCTGAAAAGTATTAGCGATTGACGTAAACCAATAATTATATACTACCCGATATATCCCCAAATACCCGCAAATACAATTATAAAGCCTAAGTTTTTGAGTTATATGAGAGAAGATGTAATTTAGTTATGTTTTTAAAATATTTGCGGAAATGTAAATGAAATTATTGTAATGGCTCTGTATTTCAAAAATAAGATTCAAATTTAATTTCCTAATATAAAATTTATGCGCCAGTTTATGCTCGAACATTAACATATTGTTACTAAAAATAACTAACTATCTTCATTTAGTTATTATTTATTTTTAAATTATTCATCGGGCGCATATATTTTTTTGTTAATTACAATCTATCGAAATTAATAATGATGATAAATTGCTGAAATACCCGGACAATTAACAATATTATTTATTTAAACATTGACGTTAGCTTTTTTTTTAAACGTGCTCATTATAATAAAATTAGCTCGATGAATATTCTTTTTCATATCAGACCTAAATTCTCAAAATAGTACGAAAGAACCTTTGCATTTTCTTTTTAAATAAACAATGCTAAAATTTAAAGGAAAGGAATGGATGATTTTGCAAGTATCATATATAAATAATAAATATATATATATATATATATATATATATATATATAAGTATAATGTATGTATCTTAGTGGAGATATAGTTTATTTCAATATAGTTGTCTCCTTTGAAACTCCATATCGTCTTATATGGTATAATCTCCAAATGGGGAATCTACCAATGTTAACCTCGATTTTGCATACTAAATCAAAGAATAGGGAAACATGGTGGAGAAGCAGTGTGCATAACGAAGGTATAATCAATCGGGCAAGTGCCAACGCCACACACGGAAACTGCGTGAAATGAGAAACTGTGTTGTTACGTCTAGAAATATTCGGCGACGCGTAATCGGGAGGTGGCGAGCATAATAGTAAGGAAGAAAGCGCGCGCGCGCGCGCGAGCAAGCGCGAGAGAGAGAGAGAGAGAGAGAGAGAGAGAGAGACGTTGCTGGGGGATATTAATATAAGGGCTCGATGCGTAATTATAGTGATTACCGTATTGCCGTGGGGCGGTCGAGGGCGTCTCTCAGTTTGCACGTCATTTTGTAATCACGACGCGCCGAAACGTGCGCCCGCGGAATTTGACGCGTCAATCGCTCGCGTCGATATGCTGGCTGATTTTTTCGAGCATTTCCCTCAACGAGGATAATACATGCGCGTACGTTATGCGCCGTTAGGAGGAATTAATCATCGGCTTTCTCGTTCACGTATGCCGAGTATTGGCGTACCTGATTTCTTATAATTATGTGTATATTGTGCCGTAACTTATGTATATTTTATACAAAAAATGAAGTTATGATTGCAGCGGCTTTTGAGCGATACTTTTTAAATATAAAGCTTTATACCGTCGACCATTATTTTTCTTTTCTAC